TTAGTATCTACTACTTCATTAAAATCACCTATTAAGCATATATTTTCATATGCTCTCTCTGTTATTTTTTTGTGTATTTGTCTATAAAATTATTTCAGATTGTTGTTTGGTGAATATATTGTAATAAGCAGTATTTGTTTCTGATCCATTGTTATCTCCATCATTAAAACTCTTCCCTCCTCATCTGCGTATATTTGTTTAGGTTTTAGCCATTCTTTGATATATATCGCTATTCCTCTCTTTTTTTGCTGTGCTACATAGAGTTTTCCTATTTTTGGGTGTTCTAGTAGGTCTTTATATTGTTTCTTAATATGTACCTCTTGGAGGCAAACTATGTGAGGGATCTCACGAAAAACAATGAGGGCGCTGAGGGCGCTTCCAAGAAAAGGTCAGCACGCAAGGATGCAATCAAATTAAGTCTTTATTTAGATGTAAAAGTGGAGTAAAATAAATTCCCAGGCATGGAGGCATCCATGCCTGGATTGAGCCCATGGGTCAGTCCCATAGGAGACTAGAACAAGAGCAGGGAAAAAGGGAAAAGCAAAAAGGGGTAAAAGCAAAAAGGGGGGAGCAGCCCCTGTGCAGGGGCTCTTATAGGGGCCCCTGGCCCCTCCCTTACAAGGTGTGTGAGGGGGCCGGAGGGCCATTAACTCTCCCCAATGGGGCTGCAGGGGCTGGAGCCCCTTGACCCACCAGTGGGATCAAAGGTGCCTCTTTGCCCCCATCTGGTGGCCTTTGAAGAGACTGCCATGGCTGGCACAAAACATCTAACAAACTATATCCGTGTCCAATCTTTGTAATTTTGTCAAGGTCTCTTTTCTTTTCATGGGTGAGTTCAGTCCATGTATATTGATTGAAAGCACCTCCTCCATTTTGTTATTTGTATACATTTCTCAGTTTTCTAGTTGTCCTTGTCTCTCTATATATTTTTGCTCTTGTGCCCTCACGTTCCGCTCATTCCTTTTCCTGCTTCATTCTTTCCGCTCATTCCGTCTCATTGTCTTCTAGTTGTTGTTCCTCTTGACTCTTACTTTCTATTTTTTCCCTGCTCTCTTGATCTTCCTCAGCCATAAAGTGATGCTCAAAAAGCTCATGTGCTTTGTCAAGTGTATCAATTTTAAATTTCTTCTCCTGCCAAGTAATCATGATTCCTTCCAGGATTAGCCATCTAAACATCACATTGTATTTGACTAGTTGTGTAGTGAGAAATTGGTATTGTCTTCCCTGGTCCCTAACTCTCCTAGGTATCTGTTTGAAGGTTTGAATTTCTCTTCCTTTATACATCATGGGTTTCTCCCTTGTTTTTTTGTATATTTTGTCTCTTATTGCCTTTTTGGTGAACCTCATGTGTACCTCTCTTGGGAGTCTGTGTCTTCTCACATAATTTGTGTGTATCCTGTATACCTCATCTATACACTCTGTATGTTGTGTTTGCTTTTCTGTAGTGTGTCTGCTAATAGTTCTGCCATGATCATGCCTAGATCTTCCTCTTTGTCTTCCACTATGTTCTGGAACCTTAGGAAGCAAGCTGCTTTTTCCATTTCTAAAAACACAATAGTCTCCTGCAGATCCCTGTTATCCTGAATGAGTTTTTGTTCCATTGCTTCCATTTTCTTTTCTGTTTGTTCCATTTTTGTCTCCACGGTTTGTATTCTCTGTTCGTTTTTAGTTAATGCTTGCTGGATATTTCCTATTTTATCGTCCATTTTTCTAATATCTCCTTTCATTTCTCCCATCTCATTTTTCATCTCTTCATGGTTTCTTTTTTGTCTCCTGATGATTCCTTGCTATTGACTCCTCAGTCTTTGTCATTGTTTCCTGTTTCATGAGGAGTGTTGACTGCATGGTTTGCAAATTCAGTTTTGAACTTGATTTCTCTGTACCAAACATGCTCTCTATTGAGCGTTGATTTGAAGGGAATGATGTTGCAGATACTGGATTTGATGAGGCTTTCTTACTTATTTTAGTAAACAACAATAAGTCACACTACAGGAAGAACTTTAAAAAGTGGAATTAAATTTGCAGACAGAACCACAAAAACACAAAAGAAAAGAAAAAAGAAACTTAATAAAACATAGATTAAATTTGATGACACAGGAAGAAATGGCACAAAAAGTTAAAATGGCAAAACAATTTTTTTTGAACATGAAAACAAGCCAGGGAGATGGCTAGCATATAAATTAAAAAAAGAAAAAGAGAAGAAAAGAATACATCAACTGCAAGACGAAAATGGAACTCTACATCACCAGAGCGAAGAGAAAAAAATATAATACAAGAATTCTTTACTAGTCAAGAAAACATACCAGAAGACAATATCAAACAGTACTTAGATAAGATGAGCTTAACTAAAATTGAAGAGACAAAAAGAATGATGCTAGATGAAAAAATAACCATGATGGAATTATTCGAAGCAGTTAAGAAACAAAAAAAACAACAAAACACCTGGCTCAGATGGACCTCCTGCAGAACTATACAAAACCATACAAGGAACTTTACAGGCTACAATGCTGGAATTGTATAACGAGGCCCTTGCAGAGGCCAAACTACCCGAATCATGGGCAGAAGCATACATTACACTTATATCAAAGGAAGATACAGACCACAAACAGATAAAAAATTATAGACCCATTTCATTACTAAACATCAACTACAAAATATCTATAATTTCAGAAAGATTAAAATGATTATTAAATGAATTCATTCACCCAGACCAAAATGGGTTCCTACTGAAAAGACAGCTGAAAAATAATATGAGAGTGATCATGAACACCCTGGAATATTATGAAGCACATCCCGGCAAACAATCTGCACTGATTTTTCTGGATGCACAAAAAGCATTTGACAATTGAATTGGTGATTTATTACTTTACAACTAAAAAATATGAACTTTGGGGAGAAATTTGTAAAGATGGTGTAAACAATATATTCAACTCAAATGGCAAAAGTAATAATAAATGGAGATACAGAAAAATTTAATATCTCTAAGGGGGTAAGACAAGGTGCCCCCTATTGCCCTTATTATTTATTTTAACCTTAGAGGTATTACTAAGAAAGATTAGACAAGAACAAGAAATAACAGATCTGAAAATAAAAAAGGAAGAATATAAAGTGCAAGCATTTGCAGATGACTTGGTGTGTCATCTAGAAGAGACACTAGAAACATGACCCTAATTAGTTCAAGAGATAGAAGAATTTGGCACAGTGGCAGGACTCAAAATAAATAAAAATAAGAGAAAGATAATACAAAGAACCTCACCAAAAACAGGAAAAAGAACTAGAGGAAAAAATGGGAATGCAAATAACTAAGAAAGTTAAATACCTGGGAAAAATTAAAAAAACAGGGAATGGATATGGATTGGTGGCCATACATGCAAATTGAGACCAAATACAAGAAAGATGCAGGACTTTATGGGTTTAATAAGGAAACACAAGAATTGGGTAAGATTTTGCAAGGAACATAGGAAAAACTGATAAGGAAAATATACAATTATCTATTGCAATTTAGAATGGAAGAGGAGACAGTAAAGGAAACCATGATAACCTGAGCAAAAAATTTCAGCTATACAATAGAATTAGAGAAGTGGGAAAAACTGTGGGAGAAAAATTACAAATTGACAATGTCAGCAGCTTACAGAGAAAACCTATACAAAATGTTCTACAGATGGCATCTACCCACAGCGAGACTGGCAAAAATGTTTCCAACCAGATCACCGGAATGCTGGAAATGTAGGAACATACTACCACATGTGGTGGACATATGCAGCAGCAAAAAAATACTGGATAAGAATAAGAAAGTGGTTAGAGGAAACAACTAAACAACGAATAGAGCTAAAGTCAGAGATATTCCTATTAGGCATACTTAGAGTACAGGAAACTATGACAAAAAAACTCAATATCTAATACTACATGTAATAACTGCGGCCAGAATAGTCTATGTGCAAAATTGGAAAAATAGAAACATACCGTCAGAGGAAAGTGTGATAAAGAAAGTGTTAGTGTGTGCCAAGATGGATAAATTAACATTGGAAATAAAAAATAGAGGAGAAATTGAGTACTATTTGATATGGAATCTATAGTATAACTGGTTAGACAATAGATGTACAGATTAGGAAATTAACAAAGAAAGAGGATAAAGGAGCCAGAAAATAGTAAAAAGTATAAATTCAAAGATAAATGAAGAACATGCAGTATTAGTGTATGATAAGATGTGATAAAAATGTAAAATGTTAAAAAATACTTAGAGTAATAACGATGCACTGTATATAAATGAACATATTAGTATATACAAGGGAACCACATGTATGTAATTACATAGATATAGGAGGGGAAATGTATTTATACCGGATATATACCGATATTGAAGTGTTGCAAAGATGATGAAAATTGTGATATAAAATGGAAAAAACTGCTTAATAAAAATATTTTTTTAAAATGTAAATATTTGTACATAAATAAGTTCCCAGAACTAATTTTATTTGACAAAAGTCATGACAAACTCAGAATTGGGGCTTTGAAATGGTTTGGGACACTCTTTGTATAAGAATATACAAATGGAGAAGCTTGAAGAATTATCATGAGATAATTTATTCTACTTTATTAACATTTCATCCCTTTTATTACATCTCTGTTATATATGCAGTACTCTTTGGATTCAAATAACATTTTCCATTCTTTCATATTCATAGTTATTCCTACTTTATTTCTCCTCTATACATATTTAGTAAGATGCATGGTTTTAGGCAATATGAAATTGTGTCCTGACAACTTGGACTGTCTGAGACAGTCTTGTTGATCCAGTTCATTTTCCTCCATAGATTAAAATTGCATACAGGACTGGGAAAATTAAGATTCAATTGTGTAACTGCCTAAATGATAGTCTTAATTCTCCATGAAAGATATAAATGGGCAACTCATGAAATTTGACTTCCTCTCAAATAGAGCCTATATTTACCTGAATGCTATAATCAAACATATTGTTTTATGGGATATTTTTCTTTTAGTCTTAGAAGACCTAGAACAAATTGTTGTTCCCAATTATGGAACAGTACCTGGCCAGCAAGCTCTTCATATGCCTGAATTGGTAGGTACTAACTCATTATTCTTATAAAATTTATCATATAGTTCATATAAAGATATGCAAACAAATCTGAATTTCTCATAAGATATTTTAGATTTGGGTTGTAGAATTAAAACTGTTTAAAGCGCTTTTTTAAATGTGGCCTTTAGCATTAAATTTTCTGAATAATGTACTATTTGGGCAATATGAAATAGTGGTAATTTTATATTTCAGATTTGAATTTGTATATTGTTATTTTTGCAACGTAACATATGAAACATTTTTCTTGCTGTTGTCCAAATATATTGGACTACAATTCCATTTTGGCTCAGGGATCAAGTTGTACTCTAATCTTCCAGACAGTTGCAGTTTATGGAGGGAAGGTAAAATGAGGGAATGTGATTCTTATTTTTTAAAAAAAACAATGAACAAGTGCTGCTTAAAGAAAAATGTATTATTCCTAATTGGAGTAAACTAACTTTTTTGTATAAAATTTGAAATCATACCTCAAATTGCATTGTCATAGTTGACTGACTTTTTCAAGATGCTAGTGTATTAGAAATAGTAATAGTTCCACAATCTAATTTAAAACGGCCCACAAGGATTGTCCCTTGTCCTAACTGGAATTCAGAGGCATGCTGCTTCATATCCTCCATTAATGTATCCAATTAGATCAAACAGGAGAGGCATGCTGCAGATCCCATTTGCTAGGGAATGCTTTCAGGCCAATTTCAGGAGTCTTTCCTGTCATAGCACTGCCCTTTGGAACATTATCCTTCCATAAATCAGATTGGCTACAACCCTACTAACTTTCTGCAAGGACTTAAAAACTTGGTTTTGCTATTGGGCATTGGGACTTGGATGGGCAGTGTGGAATGACTGTATTGATTATTGTTGATGGGTCTATATATTATTAAATATCTCAGCTATGGCTGCATTTCATGGGTGTTTACATGTTTTATATTATTTATACTATTTTAAATCTATGTTTATATGGGGTTTCTTCATTTTTATATGGTTTCTCATATATTTGAGATAGGCAGGTATATAAATTGAAATAAAGACATTTAGATACATGGCTATCACTACTGTTTGAAGAACTGGAGTCAACTTAAACTACTTTTAAAAATATTCATTCAAAAAATTTCTCAAGGCATGCCAGAAACCACAAGTGATTCTAGGACTAGTATTATATTTTTGTATTGCTCATATGCCCCTAAATTATGTATTATCTTCTCACCAAAATGATACCTATTACTCTACTTCAATTTGCATGCTTTTGAACTGCTAATGGGCAGGAGCTGGGGCTGGAATGGGATTTCACCCCATTATTCAGCTCTCAGGTTTTGAACCTGTGCTTTCCAACTGACAAACTCAGCATCTTTACCACTGAGCCATTGCACAAATTCTACAAAATTCAGCAAAACCAATGTAATATGTACAATTTGCATTTAAAAACTGAAACTGAAAAATCAAACCAGAAAAAATGTTCATAGTGCACAATACATTTCTTTTTTAAACCCAGAATATGCAATTTATAAAGTTTATTACAACAAACTTTATAGCAATAAACTACAATTGAAAGCTGCCTCTGCCCATTCTTGTATTGGAATTCAGCCATCCCAAATGGACATTGAATGCAAATGCAATAGAATATTTGATCTAGACAAGTAATCCTAGTTACTTGTCTAGCAAGAACTAGCTCTGAGCAAATGATGCAATAATTTCTGCCTCTCCATCACCACCCTAATCTCTTGTCAACTAGTCTTGGACAATAAGAATAAGGAAGAAACAGGTCTAATTTACTGGTTATACAGCACTGTTTTTAAAAAAACAAACCGTCGCATTTGACTTTGTTGTAGGCTTATGAAGCAATGCCACACAAACAATTATGTTTTGTCTGAATCTAGTAAGAAACTAGAATTTAGATGTAATGTTTGACCAGGAGTCTCAGAACATAGATGGTTTCTCCTCAGTTCACAATACTCAAAAAAGTTATTGGGAATATTTTTTTTCATACTTGGAAAATTTTGCAAATCCATATCATATATGTATTTGAGTAAGCTAACCAAATACTAGATGGAAGATTTCAGATATTTTGTTTTCTTCTATTTATTCCCCTGTGAAGACTGATTCAACATATATTTGGCTGAAATATTAACACATTCAGTATGGATTACAGTATTTGGGTGTGTGACATGTTTTTCAGACATCTCTTTCTAGGACTCTGCTAACCAACTTTTGCTCTCCTCAACTAATCAACTACATATATTTTTATTCTCAAATTCCATTAGGTATAATAATATTTATATAGGTGTTAATATTTATTCTAGGTAGAGTTTGACCTGAATCCTGACTCTCTGTACTTTAATGATGGCCAAAGAAAAGTTGACTTTGTCTTAGTATATGAAGATGAAAGCAAAAGGGAAAATCGAAATACTTTTCATAAAAAGCAAAAGGTATGAATTGCTTTCTATTTGATGTTGCTATTGATAAAGTTTTAGTATTTACAACACTTTCCCTTAATCCATTAATTTAGATAGATTCCTCTTAAAATTTGATAATTACTAAAAGGGTTCTTCTTTTGTCTGTCTCAACTGCACCAAGATGAGTAAGATTTAATAATACTTATATAATTTCAGACAGGAGGAGGATTTGATCTATCACAATGCAATGTTCCATAGCTTTCTTGGAACTGAACCACGTCAGAATGCATATTTAAATGTCAATAACATTAAAAAAAGGAGAACAAAATCAAACAATACAGTATTTTTCTTCATTTTATTTTTTTTACAAATAATATGTATGTATATTTAAAACAAGACTGGACAATAAAGAACAAAAATGAGGACCCAGTTTGTGGGGGCAATAAACTGACTTTGTATAAATATACAAAAGTATGAAGGCTATTGCTTAACGCATTGTAAGCCACCCTGAGTCTCCAGAGAAGGGCGGCATATAAATCAAATTCAAAAAAAAAAAAAATTAAAGAAAATAATTTAAAAAATAATAACAAGTTAGTGAGGCAAAATGTACAATATATTACAGTAATATGTTCAGATTACTCAAACAACAAGTTAAACTTTGCCTTAAAGCAGTGGTTCTCAACCTTCCTAATGCCGCAACCCATTGATACAGTTCCTCATTTTCTGGTGACCCCCAACCAGGGGTGGGTTCTAAAAATTTTTACTATCGGTTCTGTGGGCGTGGCTTATTTTGTGGGCGTGGCTTGGAAGTCATGTGACTGGGTAGGCATGGCTAGCTGGTCATGTGACCGGGTGGCCATGGCTATGTGTATAGGGACTACTCAGAGGGCTGAAAAAAGTCATTTCTGATAGATCCTCACACTTTTGACTGGTCCTCACACTTATGACCATCCTCACATTTATGCCCGTGCAGCATTCTTAACAACCATGTCACTCATTTCACAACTGCTTCTCTTCACCATGGTGATAAGATAGGTCAAAAAACGTAAAATGTGAGGACAGTCGTAAATTCGAGGACTGGTCAAAAGTGCGAGGACCAGTCAAAAATAACTTTTTCAGCCCTCTGAGTAGTCCATGTGCACAAAAGGACTACCCAGAGGGCTGAAAAAAGTGATTTCTGACAGGTCCTCGCACTTTTGACTGGTCCTCACACTTATGACCATCCTCACATTTATGCCCATTGTGGCATTCTTAACAACCATGTCAATCATTTCACCACTGCTTCTCTTCACCATGGTGACAAGATAGGGCGCAAAACGTGAAATGTGAGGACAGTCGTAAGTTCAAGGACTGGTCAAAAGTGTGAGGACCGGTCAAAAATAACTTTTTCAGCCCTCTGAGTAGTCCATATGCACATAGGGACTATCCAGAGGGCTGAAAAACGTAATTTCTGACAGGTCTTCGCACTTTTGACCGGTCATCATTTATGCCATCATTTATCTTCTAATCCAGAGATCTCCAACCTTGGCAACTTTAAGCCTGGCAGACTTCAACTCCCAGAATTCCCCAGCCAGCTATGCTGGCTAGAGAATTCTGGGAGTTGAAGTCCACAAGTCTTAAAGCTGCCACGTTTGAAGACCTCTGAGCTAGAGCTTTAGGGCCAGCCTTTTGGGGAGGGGGTCCCATTCGGAGAGACCCCCTGCCTCTCAGGAAGCATTAGGCCCAGGCAAAGAAAGTTGCCAAGGTTGGAGATCTCTGGACTAGAAACCTCCAAAGGTCCCTTCCAATTCTGTAATTCTGGTATTGACAAGCAAGCACAGTTAAGCTACTTAAATCCTCCAGAGCAGGGGTCCCCAACCTTTTGGACCTCAGGGACCACCAAGTTCATAATTTTAAATTTCGCAGACCACTAATACGAATCCAGTGTGCCACTTGCTGAAGCACCTGGACTCCCAGTGACGGGATAGGGTCCTTCAGGCACTCCCCCCCTCTTTCTCCCTCTCTCCTCCCTCTCTCATTCTCTCTTTCTCTCCCCCCTCTTTCTCCCTCTCTCCCCCACACACTCTCTCTCATTCTCTCTTTCTCTCCCCCTCTTTCTCTCTCTCCCCCCACTCTTTCTCTCTCTCATTCTCTCTCCCCTTCTCTCTCTCCTCCACTCTCTCTCTCATTCTCTCTTTCTCTCCCCCTTCTCTCTCCCCCACTCTCTCATTCTTTCTCTCCCCCTTCTCTCTCTCCCCCACTCTTTCTCTCTCCCCCTTTCTCTCATTCTCTTTCTCTCTCCCCCTTCTCTCCCTCCCCCACTCTTTCTCTCGCTCTCTCCCCCTCTTTCTCTCATTCTCTTTCTCTCTTCCCCCCCCCTTTCTCTTTCCCTCTCTCCCACTCTCCCCCACTTTCTCTCTTTCATTCTCTTGCAGGGGGCCGATCTGGTGTCTGCAATGGAGAGCAAAATCCAGCTTCTTCTCTCTGCTGTAAGTGCAGCATCAGGATTCTGCCTTGGTATATTTGCGGCGCAAGGCAGCCCTCGTTTCCTGCTGACTCGGAGCGGTAAATAGCGTCTGGTTCGGGGAACAGCTGGATTTTGCTCTCCATTGCTCTCTCAGCCCCCTGCAAGCTCTCATCTCTCGAGAAGCCCAACCAAAGTTTTCCGCACCACTTCAGGGAGCGGTCCTCGAGAGACGAGAGCTGAGAGAGCAATGGAGAGCAAAATCCGGCTGATCCCCAAACCAGACGCTGTTTACCGCTCCGAGTCCCAAGCGGCAGGAGAGGTGGGCTGCCTTGTGCTGCAAATATACCAGGTGGAATCCTGATGCTGAATTTACAGCGGAGAGAAGAAGCCAGATTTTGCTCTCCATTGCAGACACCAGATTGTATTGCACCACCTGCAAAAATGCAAAAAATTCCAAATGTAGCCCTGCCCTCTAACAGCCCTCCTGATGTTCAACTGTTGTCTCTCAAGGAGGATACTTGGCCATCTTCATGCTTGAAAGGATTCTACAGATGTCTCCCACCTTGGCAGCTTTAAGACTTGTGGACTTCAACTCCCAGAATTCTCCACAATTCCCCAGAATGGGCTAGGCGGGAGTTGAAGTCCACAGGTTGTAAAAGAGTCACAATTGCCCAGCCCTGGGCTAGGGTAGGCTGACGCCGTGTGGGTGGGAGGTGGGGCAAGGCGAGGGGTGGATGAGCCAGCAATTTAACAAACGGTTCGGTGTGCTGTGAGGCCAATAAATTGCAAAAAAACACCGAACCGTCTGTTAAATTACTGGCTCGCCCACCCCTCGCCCCGCCCCACCCCCAGTATTTATTGGCAAGGGGTGGGGCGAGCCAGCAATTTAACAAACGGTTCGGCCAAACCACCTAGAACCGGCAGAATCCCACCACTGGTTTGTTTCCCTCTAGCCATCAGCTGGGACTCAGGAGGCAGCAATAGATTGGGAGTGGGCGGGGTAAGCAAACGGCAACCGGCAATCCAACAGAGGCAGAGGATGAGGGTGAGTGAAGGCATGGGGGGGTGAGAGAGGGCTTTGGCAACCCCTGTGAAATGGCCGTTCGACCCCCAAAGGGGTCGCGACCCCCAGGTTGAGAACCGCTGCCCTAAAGGAATCATATTTCTCCCTTTCCCTAGCCAGGAATTCTTTGGCATGAAAAGAACCATTCAACCATCTGTTTTTTCCATTCAAATTCAGAATAATGAAAATTTCATATGATTGGTTTAAAATAGGGAGGTTAGAAGTTGATTGGGGGCTAGTAGATTATTGTGGTTTATTTTACTAAATAAGGTCCCAATTAACCTGGTTAATAGACATAAGTAAACATAAGCAGAAACGGCAAGTAATCCAAATTTAAGCAAATTAGGAAAGAAAAGAACATCTGCACCATCATCTGCAGCAGCAGCAGCAGCAGCAGCAGCATCAAGTCCATCAAGTCAAAGATTGATAGAGAGCATGTTACAAGCAGAGAAATCAAATTCATTTCAAAAAGATGTGATGATGATGTTCCACTCTTTACCGGAGGCAATAACAAAGAATCATAATGAGGTGAAGAGTGAGTTGAGAGAGGTGAAAGATGCATGATATGAATGAAAAAATGGGGAATTTCCAACAGATGATAGAAAAAAATGAACAAAGGATTCAGGTAATAGAAGAAAAATCAGAACAAGCTGAGAAAAAAATAGAAAATATGTACCAAAGGCTTACACAGGAAAATAAAGAGTTGGAGGAAAATATGATTTCGTTGCAAATGAAAAAGTCCACTTACTTTCTGAGATTCCAAAACATTGAAGAGAAAAAAGGAGAAGACCTACCTGATATAATGACAGAATTGCTGACAAATGCTTTACAAATTACAAAACAGAAAATGCAAGCAGAGATTGATGAAATATTTTGAATACACAAAAACTACGTGAGAAGACATAATCTCCCAGGAGAAGTTCCTGTAAGATTTGTCAAGAAGATGATAAGAATTGAAATACTTTAAAAAGCAAGAGATGGACCTCTGCAATATAAAGGCAAAGAAATTGTGGTGTTGAAACAGGTGCTAAGAAGAGTTAAGAAATCTAAGAAGACAATATCTATTTTTGACAGGTCAGCTGATTAAATACAACGTAAATTTCAGATGGCTGATATCAGAGGGAATTTTGGTAACTTGGAATGAAAAAAGATATAGATTGGACTCATTAGATAAAGCACATGAATTTTATGAATATCAATTTGGAACTACTGAAGAACAGGGAAGGGGAGAGGAAGTAGAATGTAAAGGACAAAGAGAACTAGCAATTGTGGAAAAGACTAGATGGCAAGAAGAAAATGAGTCCGAACGAGCAGAACGAGAATGAGCAAAAGTAAAGGAACAGAGAGAAATAAGATCAACTAGGACAATATGACCTATATACAAGTGAGAAGGTGGAAGAAGAAATACAGATGATATCAAATGGATTGAATTCACCAATGAAAAGGAAAAAAAAACTTTCACAAAACTACAAAAATTAAAATTTGACTTAATTTGCCTCCAAGAAGTCCATATTCAAAAATAGC